AATTCCTCTTACGATGCAAGAAGTTTTATCATCACCTGATACTATTTTATGGAGAGAGACTATAAATGATGAGATAGATTCACTACTTTCAAATAAAACATGGAAGCTAGTGGATTTACCTCCAAGTTGTAAAACTATTGGGTGTAAATAGTCCATTCATAAAAAAGTTAAACCGAATGGAACTATAGATAAATATAAAGCAAGGCTTGTCGCTAAAGGTTTTAAGTAACAAATTGATATTGATTTCTTTGATACTTTTTCTCCGGTTACTAGAGTTACATCCATTAGACTGTTGATAGCAGTGACTGCAATTCATGATTTAAAAATTCATCAAATGGATGTAAAGACAACATTTTTAAATGGAGATCTAGATGAGGAGATTTACATGGACCAACCCGAAGGCTTTGTGAAGCCTGGCCAAGAAAGCAAGGTGTGTAAGCTAACTAAATCCCTTTATGGTTTAAAACAAGCTCCTAAACAGTGGCATGAGAAATTTGATTCTTGCATGCTTGAGAATGGCTATAAGACTAATGAATGTGATAAGTGCATATATTATAAAATTTGTGAGAATGCACATGTGATTATTAGCCTATATGTAGATGATTTACTTATCTTTGGCTCTAATTTGCATATTATAAATGAGACTAAAAATATGTTTAATAGCCACTTTGATATGAACGATCTTGGTGAAGCCAATTTCATTTTGGGAATTAAAATTACCAAGACCAATGATGACATTTTTCTTGATCAATCGCATTATGTTGAGAAAATTTTTAAAAAATATAACTTTCTAGACTGTAAACATGTTGCTATTCCTTTTGATGCAAGCATACATTTATCTGTTGTAACAAATGAAAAAGACGTGATTAATCAAAAAGAATATGCTAGCATGATTGGTAGTTTGAGATATGTTACTGATTACTAGACCTGACATTGCATATGCTGTTGGAATACTTAACAGGTTTACTAGCAAGCCAAGTCAAGATCATTGGTTAGCCATGAGAAGAATTATGAGATATTTATCTAGTATCAAAAATTATGGTTTGTTTTATAACAAGTATCTTGCGGTACCTGAGGGATGTAGTGATGCCAATTGGAACACTTTGTTAGGTGATTCTCTCTCTACCTCGGGTTTTATTTTTACCTTGGGTGGTGGTGCTATATGTTGGAAGTCTAAAAAACATATTATAATTGCTAATTCTACTATGGAAACTGAACTTATAGCGTTAGCTTCAGCATGTGAGGAAACGAATTGGTTGAGAGATTTGTTACATGAAATCCCTTTTTGGAAAAAACCAATTCCTCATGTGTTAATTCATTGTGATAGCACTACTGCTATTGATAGAGTGAACAATCATTTTTATAATGGTAAATCCAGATCTATTCGAAACACAGTAATGTGAGATCCTATTTGAGTAATGGCATCATAATTGTGAATTATGTAAAATCTTGTGATAATCTTGCGGATTCGTTAACTAAGGCCTTGGCGAGAGATAGGGTCTGAAATACATCGAGGGAGATGGGTTTAAAGCCTATAAAATCATAAACCATGTATGAGGATACCCAACCTGGAGACCAGAGATCCTGTAATTAGGTTCAATGGGAAGAACGAATCATATAGTGATTGTAAAAAATGCACTCCTTAATATTTTGTTATTCATCTCCATGATGTAAGTGTATTTGTCCTGTAATGTTGGAGGGTTAAGTTTTTATACTCTTAATAAAATTATGTAGCTCTTGTTAAGTGGAGTGTGTAAATTACAGGAACATCCTTGACAGATTTCACCTATATGAGCATGAAAGTGGGGCCGCTTTCTATGAGAACAAGGTTTATTCTCAAATATTCTCATGAAAACTGGGATAGGCACAAGGCCATAATGTGCTGGCTATTAAAAACCCATGTCAACACCTGGATTATTATGTGTGAGCAGTAATATTTTATTTCTCCTAAGTAGTCATAGTTCAAGTCTGAAACCACTATTGACTCTAGAGTAGATGTTGTTGTTTCACTAATAAAGGTTCAATGTAGAGCACACCTTCATCATGCATACTAGTCTATGGCTCTGTTTGGTAGGGCTTATTTTCAGCTTATTTCAGCTTTTAGCTTAATTTAAACTATTTTGATGTGTTTGGTTCAGCTTAATAATACAGCTTATAGCTTTTTGTAAGTCAAAAATCAACTTATTCTTTGAGTGGGGGAGGAGAAGTTTAATTTATAAGTAAAAAATCAGCTTATGTTCACAGTTATAAGCTCTAAGCTGTTAGGCTATAAGCTATAATCACTTTCCCACAGCTCTACCAAACGGGGCCTATCTTTGTTTAGTAATCTCTCTTGTCCTTGTTGATATCAAAATGAGCGGGGGATTGTGAGACCATTTTAATCTTTTATATATATATATATATATATATATATTGTTCATGAATCTTTTTTTGTCTTGTTTATGAATCTCATCTTGTTCATGAATGGAGATTCATTGTTTCGGTGACCTTTTGTCTTGTTCATAAATGGAGATTAATTAGGTTTATGGACTTGGTGGTGAGTTAATTTTTTGGAGACTCTCCCTTTTCTTTTCTCTATATTCATAGTCATTATTATTTTTTAGTGTAAATTGTAAGATCCTAGTAATCTATAAATAGCTCCTCTCATCTACTCTTTTCTACACCAACTATTGTTTATATTTGAAAGATTACTAGTAAAAAATGATGTTTTTATTAGTGGAGCTTTGGATTTACCATCTTGTGCAGAGTTGGCCTGAACCATACGACAAGTAGTCGGGCTATTACATCCTGGAGGAGACAAGTCATAGTTTTGTGACTACTGTATCGGTATTTGGGTTCTTCCTACCGCAGTAGGTTTGATCTCTTTAAAGAAAACGAGATATCTGTGCCTCAATCTGATCTATTTGTATCTCATTTTCTTTACATTATTTATTAATAAAATATAATTTTTTCTGGTATTTTTACCAACATATACTATTATAAAAGTATACAACATAACATGATATCTAAATTTTGTTTAACAAATTTAACCTAAAACCAAGTAGATATTAGTTAAGAATCAATTAATCAAATGAAAAGGTAATGAGAATTTGCTGATTAAAAAATAAAAGATTGAAAAAGGAAAGATTTTGTTAACGTATACCATATACATGTTAAATGAGTTATTTTTAGTATTCTTGTACTTTTTATTGGGGGATTTGGTTATAGTCCCCTCACTATCTAATTTCTCTTTCAAAAGGACAAGAATTATATAAGTACTTTCAAAACCCCCTGATATTTTAAAACTTGTTTCTTTTACTATATTACCCTCATATCTATCAGCTCTCCTATTAAGACATTTTCACTATGTATTTCAGAGTAAAATTTTACTCTGTATAAAAGTAAAATTTTACTATGAATGAGAGTAAAATTTTACTCTGTATAAAAGTAAGATTTTACTATGAATGAGAGTAAAATTTTACACTCTGAAACTAAAAAAAAAAATTTACTCTGTATAAAAGTAAAATTTTACTCTGAAAAATAAGTAAACTGTAAGACTCTGAAGCTAAAAGTAAAATTTTACTCTGTATAAAAGTAAAATTTTACTATGAATGAGAGTAAAATTTTACACTCTGAAACTAAAAGTAAAATTTTACTCTGTATAAAAGTAAAATTTTACTATGAATGAGAGTAAAATTTTACAGCTTTGAGCTTGGAATCAGGCCTATAATCCTTGAATCAATCGATGTTTACTTTGAAAAACATTGAATCATGCCTATAATCCTTGAATCAGGCCTATAATTTGAAAATTTTAGAGAAATCTCAATTTTTCATACCCCGATTCTTCAGATTTTTCAGATTTTTCAGATTTTTCAGATTTTTAAAACTTTGAGCTTTCAAAAATCTATATATTCGAATTCAAATCTCAAAACACACAAACACACACATATATATAGATATATATATATTCGAATTCAAATCTCAAAACACACAAACACACACATATATATAGATATATATATATATATATATATATATATATATATATATATGTATCAGCGCGATTTGCAAGTTCTCCACAGCTCCGGCCATGGAGGAAGCTAGGATTAGAAGAGAGAGACGAGATAGAAGATGAACAGTTGAAGGAGAGTTGAAGGAGGAGAGTTGAGAAGATGCAGAGAGAGATCGTCGGAGCTTAGGAATGACACAGCTCCGGCCATGGAGGAAGCTAGGGTTAGAAGTGAGAGACGAGAGAGAAGATAAATTTTGTATCTGGATTGTGTATATGTGAGGGTATAATAGTCTGATAAAATATTTAAATAATAAATTTTATCTTTTGTGCAAGATTTTATAATTATGAGGGGGTTTAGAAAGTATAATTTTTTTCTTAGTCCTACTAACAATGAAAGGAAGGTAAAAGGGGTTTATAGCCAAATTTCCCATTTTTATTTAAATTTATTTTTCTCCCTTTTTGAAATACAAAATAACTAACATTTAAACATTTATATTCAAGTCATGCATTTTTTTGCATTTTAATAGATATGTTTTGTTAACATATCATTTTCACTTGACAATATGTGCCTTGAGGATAATGATAAATGAGCCGAGTATTCACATCAAAATCAGTAAGTCAGTACTTCAATACACCCTCTGCTTTGCTCCTATTATCTACTATCTCCATGAATATTTGATGGTCAAAGCTATCCAATGTAAAACTCAACTCTATCCAGTAAAAAAAATAAAGAATCATGTAGAATACTTTTATGCCATAACAAACAGAGCGATAATGCACAAAGCGAAGTAACCAACTAGGTGCTAATCCAACGGACCAGAACCCATGCAACACATTCGGATGTTGGGAGATTCCCTCCTTTCCCCGCAACATCCTCCGAATAAAAAACATATGCAGGAAGACCTCAAATGTTGAAAACACCTACCAACCATGGATGCAATTGAATTTCCTTCCAAGAGCTCAAATGTTGAATAAGAGTCCGAGAAATATAAGTTTCCAAACAAGGGCATTTTGAGGGAACAGAGGGTAAAAAATTAGATACCCTGACTTTCATAAATGTATAAAATTCTTCCTGTTCCTACGGTCTTACAAGTACAGATCCAAAAAAAAAAAAAATTTGATGTACACACTATGAATATGTCAATGAGATGAATCAATGTAAAATCATACTCCGGGCAGCTCCTGCGAGCAATGGATAGATCTTCTTGTTCTTCTGTCTTCATGTACAAAAAGAAGCAACTCCCCCTCGAGCCAATCCCGGGAAATTATACGTTTGTTGCTCGAAACTCCTAAAATTGAACTGTGGGCCTCTCACCAATGGGGAGAGGAAAAAATGAAAGAATTACAACTAAAAAGGGGGGTGGGGGGTGAGCAGGCAGATGTGCACACACTTACAGGAACAAAAAAAACAATCAAATCTTAGTTGGGATTGGCTGATCATGAATCTTCTGTTTTGTTCAAAAGGCACATACAAGAGGGGCAAGGAACTGAATATATTGAGTCATTTGGTCTTTTAATCTCAATTCCTTTCAAATCACTGTGAGCTCGCATATTCAGCATTTGCCGCTTAAAGCTTTTCCACCTGGGGATTATTAAGAAGGCAATAACAAATCCATGAACATGTAAATAAAAGTCAACTCAACTCAGATTAATTGTTATTAGAGAAAAACTAGAGACCCACAATGATTTGGCAAGGGAGTTGGCCCTATATGGTAAATTGTGTAACAAATCAAAAGTTAACACCTGTCATGTCACATCAATAAATAGGTTGTTTCATTTAGTTCAACCAAAGGTAGCATCAAAACCAATTAATACTATATGGTCGTTTAGCCACTGTGTTGTACTGGACTAAGAGAGCTACTCCATAACTTGGCTTGGTTTTCCAGTCCTATATAAGGTTTTCATAATAACAATATTTGGTATGTTAATCACCTTGTCTAGAATGCAGTAACGTTACTAACAGCATTGTTAGATTTGTTCCATCCCAAGCTATTTAAGCTATGAAAAAAATTTGCAAAAGCCGTCTGTCTTATAGTTTATACTGGCTTCAGTAGACATTTTGGCCCCAACCTACGAGAAACTAATGGATCTTTGAATTGAAGGTAAACCACAGTAATGAGATGAATACATACCCAATATTGGTATTATGAAGCAATTGTACAAGCTTCCGCTTGTCAGGCTTGATTGTCTGAGAATGTCCACCATATAAGTATCTCCGATGGCCAAACAGAAAATGAGGGAAGTTTCCACCTTGAGTTGTTACAAATACTTCACTATGAAGACAAACAGTGTAGTCTATAGCAGCCATCCTGGAAGAATAGTTCTAGAACAAGAAACTCAAGTCAAAAGCAATGACCTTGAATCAGACCTCAAAAATGAAAATAAAATAAGAAGACACAAGCAAAGCATTCAAACCATAAATGGAGCAAGTTCCTCAGGGGATGCTAACATCTCTTTCGTTTGTAAAAGGGGAAACATTTCAAATAATGGGGCCATGTTTCTTTCAGCATCATATATCCGTCCAGATGCTAAATAGATAGCTGTACTCTTGTCAAACCCCATTCCCCTAAGCAACAACCCAACCTGATGACATACAAGAAACATGGAGTTAGCTGTTAAGATATAATCATAGACAAATTGAATACAATCAATATTACACCCTCAAATATTATCTGATTAATTTTCATGGACTGAAGACGAAAAATAAGTGAACCCACAGTTGGAGAATAGAAAATTTTCAGATACCTTTTTTAACCCAATTACCTGGTGTATTTTAGGCTCTCAGAATCAATCTATTTTATTTAATGTTATTTGGGTAGTTAGGATACTTTAATATGGTGAGGGATGTTCACATCCCACCTCAAGTGGTCACTTGCTTCACACATTGACTTAAGTGAAGTCACTGAAATGACATGGCAGTATATATTTTGACACCTAAACAAGGGAGCCAGGACTGGGTCTTAACTCCTATAAAACCATAATTCCAGCATTCATTTGCGAAGTTGGATGATTGCACAAAACACAGGAAGCCTGGAATTTTATCCATTTTATACCATTCTTTCTAGATGCCGTTATCTGACTTTGCCCTGGACCTAAGCCCAGATACATAGGCTCCGCTGCTGCTGAGCATCTCATAGAATTGACAACAAACTTCATTTTGCAAAGAAGCTGAATTGCAGTCATAAAAGTCGTTGAAATTAAGGTCCATGCATTTTCTTTGACCTACTAAATATTCTGACTGACTTTTTGGGTTGATTGCAATCTTGAGTCTTTGCTTGGAGACTATTTGCTCATTTTGGGGTGTTCAAGTTTTATTCTCATAAAGCTCTCTAGTTTATGTTCCCAGCATCCATTTATTAAACCAAGGACTGTGTTAGAACCTTTCACAAGACCTAATAAAGGTGAACCTTTCCCCCCATATTTTTCCTTCACACCGCCAATCTTTTTTTGTAAATGTTGTTGCCCATTTTCAAATTACATGTTGCGGCACATTTCTTCCTGGTAGTACTAGCTCTTGCTGTGCAATTGGATGATAAATTAGAATCAGCAATTTCACTTTCTTTGAAATCTCTAACTCATAACATAGTATGAATCATTTCAAAACTTACAATCCAATTTCAGCACAAACAAATAGTACTTTCTCTCTCTTCCTAGAAATTGTTCATTTATTGTTAATAAATATATTCTTTCGACCTCTGTTGGATTTTATTAAGTTCTTGTTATGTGTTTGCAAAGTATATTATAATTACCAGGTAATTTCTTAATTGAAATTAACTGAGTTTGATCAGTCAGAATTATTTACAGAGTGGTTCCAGCAAAGCAGCCATTTCTTAAAATAACTAGTATGTTTTCTAAAGTTTTATACGCCCATAGACAGAGATAGAGAAGAGAAGAGAAAAGGACATAAAACAACAATAACAAGTACTATCTTTCCAAGATCACATAATATAATGCACGCAAAATCAAACAAGCACAAGAATTTACATATATTTATCTCAATAGCTACATTAAGTTTTTTTTTTTTTTTTTCCCCTTCACCAGTTACATGGGTAGTTCTGAATTCATTTTTTTATTTTATTTTTTTCACATCACTCAATTGTTGGTCATTTTAAATTTATGAATGTCACAATTTTTTAATTAATTCAATCATACATTTCACAGATTTATTTCTCTGATGCACACTCATCGCGTGTGCCCACCACTTCTAGTATTATATATATGTGCATCACTATGACTCAAATAAATTATAGTATAAAAAGATCACAAGTATACACTAACAAAAAAATTGTGAGATAATGATACAGATGACTATTTTAAATCTTAAATAAAACAAACAAAAAAAAGAGGCGTGAACCAATAATGACAGGATTGTCAATACAACAACAGTTGCAATAAATATTATGAACTCTAGAGAAGCCATAAATATTACCTCCAAAGGAGTGAGGGGACATTTCCCATTGATCCTGATTAATCCAGGACGAATAACTCGACCAGGTTTAGTGAACTTCCCCTTCCAACCCTTCTCCCTTGCAGCATCCATGTCTATCTTCTCTTTTGCACCACCATCAAATACACAACAAGAGAAAGCAACCATATCCTGCACATGAAAGATAATCAACATTTTGGCTGTTTTTAAGAACTACAATAATTTCTCTTTTATAACAAAATGGGGAATCGCCTGAACCCTGATTAGTTGGTCCAGAAATGCACCAGAACACCACTAGTGCTACAAGGTGCAGCGATAGCAGATAATCAACACTTGCTATCTATGTTGTGCTCATATCTTATTGCTGGTGGTCGTAAAAATTAACAATCAGAATAAGCAATTCAAACACTGAAAACTGACCTCCTCAAAGCGAAGATGCACAGAGACATACTTGCCACTATTATTTGCACTCCGTTCTTTCATTTTTGCAACAAGAGATTCACCAATAGTTAATATAGGATTTGAAAACCTTAAAGCTTCATAATTTGCCAAGCATCTAAGCCGTTGAACTGGTGGAGGAGCATCAAATGACAATCGGTTTGCAAAAGGCGAAATCCTTATGGCCCTGAGTTAAACATTTACAGCAAAGGCATTTCTAGTCAATTCAAAGATAAAAGCAATCACAGAACTCTGTTTGCACGAGAAAGGAAACAAAGTACAATCCGCCTTCCCCCCAACACACACACACACAAAGCAATATAAGAGAACCATTAACCATTAACCACTATTTACATTTTCACATTACCTCATCATGGCAAAATGGCAACAAGAGAAATGCAATAAATTATAATTTTAAATAAGTAAATACACTTTTTTAAAGGTGCCAAGAGGGGTGCAATCTCTGCACACACACAATGTATGCATAGCAAACCTAAAGCCCTTCAACCCAACTGTGCTCTCCTATAAAATATATAAAAGAACGGGAAATACACAGAACTTCCAAATGAATGACCAATAAATTTTGAAGAAAGAAAGTACCAAAAAAATTTATTAATGCATTTTATATATCCTCTCAATAACGTGGATGCGATTGACTGATCAAGAGATGAAGAAATTCAAACCAAAAAAGCATCAGTTAGATAGAAGGATTAAACAACTCTCCAATACAAGTCCAAAATCATCATAATTTGTTACACGAACTCATGCACTAGTACTGCTGTGGGTATGTGCAAGGTTGTTAAGATCACAATCCTGATCGTAAGATCGTACCATCCTATGATCCAATTTATAACAACCACCTCCACTATCACACACTCCACCTACCACCTCCACTTCACTCCTACACCTACTACCACATTTTCTTCTATATATAGGAATCCTTGTAATTGTAATCTACATCAATATATACAACAAATATAAATCAATCAATAATACAATTCTCTATTTCTCTTTATACATTAAATTTTCTACAACACCTATGTCAGGATCGGGACAGGATCATTACGGGATCGGTAGGATCGTGGTATTGTTACAGGGGTGACATTTATTTACGATCCAGAAAATGAGGGCTTTTTTGATAGGTTTAAGTCAAAATACATATCTGAAGAGGAAAACAGAGGAAAAATAACATTCCACCAAGGCTGTTTCATGCGATTAGGGCAAGACAAATTGGGGAAAGAGAGATTGAACCTCAAAGCTTCAGATTTCCTTGAACCTGGTACTCTTCTTCTTCGACTCCAATTGAACAGAGATTTTTCTTCTTCTCTCTGCTGCTCTTGCGACTTCTTTTTTCCTCCTCCTCTGTTCGACTGTGTTGTTGCACTGTTTTTTTTTTTTTTTCCTACTTCATTTTTTCTACTTCCCTCCTGCGTGATTGACAGCATACTGTTTTTTTTTTTTTCCCTCTTCTATCTACTTTGATTCTTTTTCCCTAAACTTTGCTGGAAAAAAGGTTCTTTTAACCAAAAAAAAAAATTCAGCACAATTCTATACAAAATTTCCCCTCTTTTTTGCCTAAATTTACCTCTGTCTGTCACAATGTCAGTCTCTGGTTCAGGAAGAGGAAAAATGCTGCTGGTCATAAGGATTTGAACCTTGATCTGCTCATATTAAACTTTATAATTTAGCAATTATGAAGCAAGTATGAGAGCTCTACCATTTGAGCTACGTCCTCGTTTTTTTGGGTCATTCTATATAAATTTTGATAGTATATAAAAAATTTTGCTTTTTTTAATCATTTTGATAGGATCTTACAATCCTCAATCTGATCTTACAATCCAATCCAGCAGACCCCCAAAACGATCCTGTGTAGGATCCCGATCTTAACAACCTTTGGTATGTGAGTGTCAAATTCATTTAATTCACATGTTCAAGGAGACAGGCACACAACAAATATTTATATTTCTTATTACTCATTTTTTATGCTACGGCGTAAAATGATGTTTACAAAGTGATGTATACAATTCGTGCATAATATGGGAAGGTATAGTTAAATAGAAAACTCAAATTGCTAGATATGGTTGTAGGGCAAATGCCCAACCAACTTCACATATCAGACATATATGTCAAATGTCCGATATGGGTACTTTACACATTTAGAAGAATCCATGTAATATAGTCATCAATTACCAGGTTTTAATTTGTTTCCATTTACAGTGACAAAAGTATGAAACAAGCATGCACTTTTAAAACAAACAAATCTGTAAATAACCACTTTGTTAAAACTTCAAAAAAATTTATAAGCTTCCACAAAATAATCCAAAGCTTTATTGACCAAATATACCATTTTTTTTTTTTGGGGGGGGGGGGGCTAAAAAATCAAAAAATTAAAGACCAAATTTACCAGATATCAAGAACCTAAATCCTGGAAAAAACAGCCAAGTCGAATATATTTAGCCCAACCATAGAATAAGACAATAGCAACTACTTGACAATAGAAACATAATGACAACTCTTGGCTTACTGTCACGCATGTAAAGTCCACCTAGTTCATGCTTACTGACAGTGAAGAAATCCAGAGTTTTCATCAATCCTTTTCTTCCAAGCGTACGCACATAATGAGTGGTGTAGTATCACTTGCTCTAGAACAATCTAAAGCAGTAAAAATTCTCTAACTCCAAATGTAAAGCTCTGATGGATACTAAATTTATTTAACAACTTTACATTTTTTCAAAAGCTAATAACAAACAGAATCATGCCCGCAACAGTTTCTTATTTCTTTCATTCTTTTCTTTTTGGCTGAAAGGAAATAATCAAACTCCATCAAATCCATGTTAATGAATTGCCAATAATGCATAACCAACCTAGCAGATGAACATATGTCTGAAATGAAGGAGATATCATGGAATTAGCAGTTATCACCAATAAAAGGGACACCTAAAACGAGAAGCATACAAGTACAGAGCACATCATTTTATTTTACCATGTTTGTGTATAAATAGACAGAGCATATTGGAATTGGAGTAGGTATGAGTGTAGGCACAAAATATAAAGCTCAACTCACTTTTCTTCAAGTAGCTTCGGAAGAACTGTGTCCTTATAGTACTGAATGGGTGACCATGCCTTTATTCTGAAGTTGAATATATTGGTTAAATTGTGGTCAAATCGATCCATGATGTACTCGGGAATCCTGTCAACTATCCGTACATCATTTTCCAAGGTACTAAGAAAATACTCTTCATCATAGATGTCCTTGAATTTGCTGCACAAGCAACAGATTCACCCATTTCAGTCTGGAAGGAAATATTACTATTTTATATAGTACGTCTAGTATTAGAAATCAACTAATACTGAAATAAATTTAAGAAGCATGAGCTTGTACAGCACTTATTTTATTTTATTTTTTTACTAGTACAAATGTTCACAGCACATTGTTTACACATTGACCATTATATACCCATGCAGCATTGAAACTAAGAGAGGGAAAAGAGGAGGATAAAATTTTTGAACACTTTGGGAATATCAATCCATTATTTCACATGCATTTGCTTACCTTCAAAAATGACAGCCACACAAAAAGGAAAGAGAATACTGCATAAGAGAATGTAAAGATATTTTAAGGGTACAAACCAACATATTTTAGAGAAGAAAAAAAAGGCTTTTTATCAAAACAGAAATGGAAAAGAAAAATGCACCAAGCACTGTCATCTAATTGCATCCTGCACAGTGGTTTCATTATAATTATAAAATACCTCACCTGAACCACTCTCTCCCGGATTCCTTAAAGAGCAAGCATGAAATTTGAACTAGACAACTCCCCAGCAAGGAAGCCTCCTTAGGTCAAGTAACTACATGACAAGGAGAGCCAGAAACCTTAATAATAACCAACCATGATGACATCTATAAGAATGGACTCAAACTCTCCCTAAACAAAGCCCAGAATGAAGTTCAGGCACAAACCCTTCCCTAAATTTATTCAACGTCTGCCCTTTTATAAAAATTATATTGTTTTGTCAAAAACCATGATACCAAATCAAAGGCCATTATAGCATCTCCACAAGTAACTTTCATTTTTCATTTATGAGAATAAGTTGATAATTGTTTATTTTGAGTGCAGCATGGAAATGTTTTCTTGACTGACAAATAATAGAAAATTTCATAAATATCAGTACAAAACAAAACAAAAACAAAAACAAAAACAAAAACAAAAAAAAGGAACAGAATTAGTATGTGACAAAAACAGCCTATGAGAAGCATAGATTCTTCTAAAAGGTAGAAGTATCCGTATCGTACCAGTATCAAATTCCGATACTCCTCGAATATCTTATCCAGATGGAAGAAGTGTGACAGAAATGGTGAAGGCATCTAATTTACAAAGAACAAAACTAATTTATAATTGTTTCTTTTTCAAAGCCCAGTTATCCAATATGTAAATAATTGCAGACCAAAAAATACTACTTCCAATCAAATTCAAATTTTAAAAATCCGATTCCATGGAGAGGAAATATTACTAATATCCACATTCAATGGGTGCTCAGAACTAGCCATCATAACTTAACCTCACAAAAAGGGACTAACATACAGCTACAAAGTCCATTCAATAAGCTAACCAAAGAATCGGTGTCCAAAATTTAAAGATTATTCATTTAGAAATGAGAAACAACCACCTTACCAACATAATGTAGTATCAAATGAAGCAGGATTCACTAATCATTCTCCCCTTATGAAAAGTCCAAAACACAAAAGACAGGAGGACTACGTGCACTTGACCTAAACCAATAATCTCACTCTTTTACATAATATACATATTTGTGAAAACTAGTGCTTCCATTTGTCAGGCATCCTAACAAGAGATCCATGCCATCCTCGTACCTCTATGGACAAATTATCCAAAGTCTTTCCAAACATTATGTTATTTGTTCTAACTACAACATTTTTTTTCCAATTTTTTCTCTGAAAGGCAGTGTCTCATCAAAATAAACAGTAAGTACAGTCTAATTTATGACAACATGAAAAGCATCAGCAGAGAAATCGTCCTGGTAGCAAACACCAAACCAACATAACAAGGGTTAGCTCTGCAGCTGGTCTACAAGGTAACCATCCATTACTAACTGGCTTGGAAAAAAAAAAAAAAAAAAGAGTAATCCCTTATCAGTTATCACGGATCAAAAATACATGGTGTGGAAATAGCAGTGGGGGATCTCTTTACTGCCTACATCCATCACAAGAAGCAGAAAAGGGTCAAACAAGGTTGCTAGCATCGAAGATAGCTTCCATAAATGAGAAAGTGGGAGTTCGGAATTGGCCAACAAGCTCTTGCCACAAGAGAGGAAAGCAGGGCATTCTGGCCTGTAGCATATAACATCTTATAAGAAGGGCCAGTAGCTCAATATAATTTAAGGCCAGTTGCTTATTAGCATATGAAAAAGAGGGCAGACGGATGTGACCATCACATCCCTCATTGAATCTATCATTCTAATCAATACTAATTACTGAGAATTTGAACACAGAGACTTTACAAGTAAGAAAATCCCTTTCTTTCTTATTAGTAAAGCACTACTGCAAGGTGCAAGTAATTAATTGAAGTGACATGACCTTGAAAGCTCCCTAGAACTAAGTGCTTTTCAAAGACAGAAGTCAAGGCACTATAATGGCAGATATATGCCTTCTCTATTATTAAACAAGTCTCGAATTTCTTGATGCGACATGACCTCGAAAACTCCCTAGAATTAAGTGCTTTTCAAAGACAGTAGTCAAGGCACTATGGCAGATATAAGCCTTCTCTTTTATTAAACAAGTCTCCTCCCAAAGCCCACCCAATGAGCCACAATTAAAAATGAGCCCCGTATCGAGACATGGACATTCCCCATGCTACAGTTCCACACCCATAGAAGGGAACAGAAGGCAGGGGCTAGAAGGAAGCATTTTCCATTCATTTGGCAATGAATCAATACGCAGGGAAAGTTTTTTCCCTCAGAAATCAATATCAGTAATTACTTAGCAAACAATTCTCATTGGTGATATTGAGAGTCAAAACCTCACAACAACCATCTTATAATGGTAAATGAATTAGGGTGCTCAGGAAATAACAGAATGCTTCTAATTCATATTACCCTACCTTTTTTTCTCTAAAAGGTACTTCCAAGCATTTTGAGCAGAGTTTCAAAGTACAAGTGAGACTGGAAGGTTTTATGAAATTCCAATCAATTAGTCCAGAAATATTCAATGAAGAGATATAATGCCAAAGCCCTTGATGTTAACAAGATATGATGCTTGGCATGAATAAGTATAGAGCTTACGAATTGGGTCCAGTTATACCACAATGTAAATGCAGCGAGCTCATAACTATATCTGGAAGGGTCTTATTTTATTTAATGGCTTACAGTGACAAAATACAAGGATTACAAATGAAAAACAAAAATCCAAATGATCTGGAAAACAAATATGAAGGGAAAAAAAATATTTACCTCCACAAGTGTCAAAAAGCTCTACAAAATCCAAAGATTGGTCAAGAGAAGGGTTTACAATACCCAACTCCCAACTGTACAAAAAAACTTTTAAAAAAAATTAAAATAAAACATATTTTTACACAAGACAGACAGAATCACAAAAAATAGGTTCAAAGTTCATCCACTTCTGATACTAATTCAATCAGAAAGATTACGAAGCATGCTAGGTTTTCCAGGTTTTTTAAGAGGTTATTGACATACCAACAAACCCCCACATATAAAAGTGTTAAAATCCACCTACTCTCCACCTACTTCACCCACTTAAACCTACTCCACTAAACCTAACCCACTACACCACTACCACCTCCACTTCACCTACTCCTTACCTACTACACACTCACTCTCTTCTATACATAGGAATCATGAATCATTGTAATAGAGATCAATATATCAATCAATAATAATACATACAATTTATTCTCTCTCTTTCTCTATACATTATTTCTTACAAAAAGAAAGACATGCATCTTCCTGTGTGCATAGAAGGAACTAAATGGTCATAAACCATGCCTAGATACTTCTTTTATTTGAAGAATCAGTCATCAGCTAAAGTTGGCCAAGAGAGAAACAGTATCATGATGTGCACACAATTTTCTAAAATATAATTCAGCACAAAAATCACATCATCGTAAGGCACCCTGTTTTCACAAATCAAGAATGCAAAGAAAAAATGGGTGTACTGAAGAACCTGGGATCTTTCCAAATGCTGTGATAATGAAAATTGGGAATAACAAGAGTTGCATTAAGATAGCCCGCCACAGCAACAGCATTGCATATCTACAACACACAGACAGCAACATGCAGAGAATGCAAGTGAATAAAGCTACAACATTGAAATCCTTCCACCGGACACCAACATGAATAAAGCTACTATGTAAGTTTAAGCATTATAAATAAGAAATAAAATGACCAGGACAAAACACGAACCGATGTTCTTTGCTGATTCAAGCCACCATTCGCCTCAATATATATGTAACCATTTGACTCAGGTAAATCTATAATAATACAAACAACTTCACATTAAAATCTGAGGGTAACTACAGGATACACACACAAAGATATGTGCATATATAGATTTGTGGATGCAGCATCATATACATAATGATCCGGATACCAGAAATACAAGAGTTTGGAGAATATAGCATATGTATATACACGAGCATCTCCAATGGTTGGATAGGTAAAGAGCTAGTTGTTGCTATAACTTAGCAATGAATAGTGTTAAAATGCTTTATTTTAGCAATGTTGCTCCAATGGTATAATGTAAAAAAATTCAAATTTTCTCACGAAATTTCAAATCAAAGTACTATATGTGAGTCCCTAGAATGAAGATATAGACATAAAGATTTCAGCTATAGGTAAACCTGTGCTATATTTGACACAATGTTTACCTATAGGTAAATATATAGCAGGCCATATGCCTTAACATTGGAGTGAAAATTTGGAAGCTTCAAGGCAAAATATGGCAATAGCAAGCCATACAACACACCATTCGAGAAGCTCTTACTTGGGATAATATTCCACTTGGTTTGGCCTGATGGATTGTGGGCAATTTTCCTAAATACCAAGCAAAAAATGTGCATCTCATGTAGGCATTTTCCGTTTAAATCTCTAACAGCGTGTTATGAACAGACCACATTGACACAAATTAAAAGATTAAGGGGCTAAATTGTTCAACCAACTACAAGGACCAAATTGACACTAGCCCCAAACTATAAGGGTGTAAAAGGTAATTTGTCCTTATTTATACAGTTTGGATCTCAATGTGGATGCACATTCCACTAGAACAACATGTGGTTGAAATGGCAGGCAAGTCGGTGCAATTCACAGTGTGTAGGGAGGTAGTGACAGCATTATGAAGTGGAAGCAAAATTTAGTTTTCAAAAACTTATTTTCACCAACAGCCGATCATAGCTTCTTTCTACTTGAGGACAAAGTAGTAGAAAATGTTTACAACTGTCATCATAATATTTGTTGGTATTCCATTATTCTACTTTCAAGCTTCGGAAAGCAATGTAATTACTGTGGGAGTGGTATTCTTATATGGCACCCTTGCTATACTAGACTCTTCAGCCAGTCAAGAGTAGAACCTTCGCAAGCAATATAATATTTTAGAACTTCTAGTATACAAACTTCTCAAACCATCCAAAACCACAAGTACAACAATGCTGAACACTCAACAGTCCGACATTCATTGACTAAAATGAAGATAAAACAGCTACAAATCCTACCACAAATTAGTGCCAAATTCAAATGTGGTCATAACTTGTTCAAATATGTAACTGTAGCAAGCATTTAGTAAATCTTGTAGGCTAAAATAAGGCAAAGCTGCTGAAGCATCTTACCCACAAAAAAAAAGAAGCTGCTGGAGCAATTTTGACAATTCTTGATATAAAACACGAAGTCTATTTATGAAAATCATAAAATAACGAGGAAATTGTGTAAATAAAAAACACAAGATATGACCAATTCAGTCCAACATATCTGAGTCCTAGCATGTGTAACCATAGTAGTTCAGGGTGAGGATAGTATTCGAAACAAACGAAAAAAAAAGGGATAAATCGTGTGAACTTCATAACAAAATGGATGAAGGTATGCATTTGGAACTTTTGATTCAACGAATGAAATAGAAGACTGTAAATGACTAGGATGTTGAATAAATTTTGCATGCAAATGGAACAACATTTCCAACTTTTCAGACCTAAAGTCACCATAGAGTAATAATAAAAATCAGAAAAGGAATCAGTTCTCACTCTGAACTGCTATATGTCACGAGAAGATAGCACTCATTATTTTCAATATATAGTCTGGAAATGTTGGCTGAGATAATGCAGAATATAAACCCAGGGGGTGTGCTCCCTCCACGGTCTCAAGTTCAAAAACTCCCAAAAATTTCATTGGGCCCCCCACTAGTGGACGGTGGGATTGGTCTCCCGGATTAGTCGGTCCATTGGGCTGGATACCGAGTTATAAAAAGAAAAGAAAAAAAAAAGAGATAATACAGAATATACAAGAACCGGAAAAACTATACCATGCATTGAATAATACTACAATTTTTATACAAAGCAAGCAACATTAAAAGATGACAGAACCAAATATTTGCCAAAAGCTCCGTATAATAACCAGTTCCCAACAGGATCTACACACAATTTGATAATTTTATACAAAATTATCTATGATCAACGATCAAAAAGAAATGACAAATTTTAATATAAACCGAAGCATAAGAAATATAAAAATGGACCTCTCAAGTTCAATATTGACAATGTTCATACCTCCTGACGATTTTTTTATACATGGTCTCCACTCGCCACCTTTAGGGTGTTTCCATATTGTCAATATCTACAGTAAGTGCGATACCTTACGTCAGCACCAGTAAGTAGAACAAGAGAGAACAATAAATGAAAATTCTATAGTCCCTCGTCAAATTCACATCAAATCATAATTGCAATTCAAAGTTTTATTCATTCAAACCAGCTTCTAGTATGAGATAACGCGGAATTATAAGAGAGGGTGGGAGGGGGGGGCAGCATAGCCTAAGACATTAAATTGAATCAAGTGTTCCAAAGCCCTTCAAACAGAGCCCTATTTTGGTGATTATATCAATAAACGTATCACAGCCAGACAACTACATTAAACATATAAGAAACACTTTAGTTAATCATAACAACTTGGACATAGCAACAAACATGTTCTGATAAATACATAGCATATCATCTTCACTGTGAGCCACCATCACCACTAGTGCTCATAGCAATCACCATAGTGGCCTCCAATGAACCCAATGGATACTTTAATCATCATCAAAAGCTGAACACCATCACCATGGCTGTTTTATTGGCCTCTCTCTCTACCTCCGCTCTATTTCTCTGTTCCTCTCTCAAAGATAAAAATTTTAAAAATAAAATAAAAATCACTCTCTCTCAAACAGCACAAGTCATTTACATGGGCTTGTACAATAATAAACAACAAACTAAGCCTTGTATCCCACTCAAGTGGAATCGCCTACATGAATCATTTTTCACCATTCTGCTATTAAGCTATATGCTCAGTTAAATTAAATAGATTCATATTTTTATTTACTACTGCATCCCATGCCAATTTTGATCTTCCTCTACCCTTACCATTTCCATTTATATCACTCTTCTTTATCAATGCATCTATAGGTCTGCTTTGTACATGACTAAAGCATCTTAATTTGTTCTCTCAACTTGTCTTCAATTTGGGCTACTCCTACGATTTCACCAATATATTCATTTCTAATTCTAATTTTATTATTGATTTATTTTACCTGATAGCTTCTTCTTTTTTTTCTTTTTCAGTTGAAGGTTCAAAAGATTCCACAAGAAGCACTTTTGGATGATTTGTGTCGAGCATCAACCAACATCTTTATGTCACACGATGCATGGACTACTTTTTTCAATAAGTACCATGCATGGACAATATCAATACATGTCTAATCAATAAAACAACATAACAAGGAAGTGAGGACACATGTTAGTTTAGGAAGTAAACATAAACAAAAAAATGAAGTTTAGATATGAATCATTGCTAAACAATTCTAAGTCATGTTTTCTCCAATCCAACTTTGTCATTAAAAACTATATAGCAAATAGCAAGCATCAAAAACCACTTGATGCAAATGTAATCTTCAAAAATTAATAGTCGATTAGGAATATTTTGATTTAGTATAAAGGGAAATTTAGCCAAAACCCCTCCATTGGACCCTTGTTTGGTGAAAAAGACGACCCAATTTATTTTGCTTCATAAACCCCCTAAGGAGGAAACGCATAATTGAGCAAGGATAGAGTAAAATTCTTTTTTTTTTCTTGAACAATATTGCCCATGCATATATATATATATATTCTATATATAGGAATCATGAATCATTGTAATAGAAATCAATACATGAATCAATAATACAATTCTTTATTTCTCTTTATACATTAAATTTCTACAATATATATATCTCACAGAACTCTTTTGACGAGGAACACTTGTATTTTATTTTATATAAGTTTAAAAATGTTTGTGTATGTGTATTTTTTATTGGTTCATCTAGCATGTACTATATTTTTTGTAACAGTAAAATGTTACTATTAGATAGAGTGATATATTACTGTTTACGTCAATTTCAACAGTATATATATATATATATTTTTTTTTTTTTAAGAATTTCATAGTCAACATGGATCTTATTCAAGGTTGTTAAAATCGGGTTCCTACGTTGGATCGTTGAAGGTGTTTATAGGATCGGATCGTAGAATCGGATCGAGGATCGTAAGATCCTACTAAAAAAGACAGATTACATAATAATTTAATTTAAATAAATATTTCTTATAAAGCATACACAAAATGAGCTTATATTTTATTAAAAAGAAATAAAGATATTGTGAAAAATATAATACTTCATGTAAAATGTACATATAATATTATACAATAGAAAACTCAATGGTAAAAGTATTGTATTTCATCAAAAAAGAAGATGAAGAAGAAGAAGAATTCTACAACAAAATACTTTACAATCTACAATAATGCATAAAAAGTAAAAAAAAAATATTTAACAAAGTTGATATGAAAATAAATTAAGAACTCAAAAGAATAATTTAACCAAATGATAAGGTTTGTCGTTAGCATCCCTGGTGGAGCAGATTCAAGTCACAAAAATAATCTCTCCAAAAATTGAGATAAATTTGCAATCATCTTACCCTCCTGAGACTCTGCTAAAGCTAAGTTTGTTTTTTCGATTATTTAATTTTTTTAAATTACCGCAATATTTGAATGTTTGTTTCCTAGTTTGTTTTTCTTAGTCTATTTGATTCAATACTACTTAATTTTTATTATTTTATTTTGACCACATAAATTGGTATTTAGACAACAAACATAAAATTTATAATAAAATATGTCATACAATACAAAACAAGGCTTGTAAATTGGATCGGATAGGATCGGATACGGATCGAGATTCCGCGATCCTATAAGATCTCACTACCAGGATCGAAAGATCCTACCTATAAGGAGTTTTTTATACGATCCGGATCGATTGTACTCAAATAGATCGTAAGATCGTAGGATCGTAAGATCCGAATTGGGATTCTGATAACCATGATCTTATTTGATAGATCTTGATGAGAGGATTCTAAAAATATTAATTTTATTAAAAATCGACATTTAAATCAAAAGTTATATTATTTTAAAATTTAAAATATTAAATTACTCACTAAGTATGTTTTGATAATAGTGGGTATGTGTTGGACTTTTCAAGAAAAACTTTTTGTACTTATCCTTAATGCATTAGTTTTATTATGAGGGGGTTTTGACTAAATCTCCCTAGTATAAAATAGCCTAGAATTATTCGGTTTCCAAGTTTGTTCATGGCTTGGTCTATAAGAGTTATACTTTTGTTACCTAGGTATGATATTAATAAGAGTGGTGAGGTTGGGGATGATGTGATCTATAGAATCGACATAGGTTGGCTCAAATGGAGGAGTGCATTTGGCATAATATATGACCAATAAAATTAAAATAAATTTTTTATGAAACAACTACAAGACTATTGATGCTTTATTGAACAGAATGTTGGACAACTACAAGACTATTCATGCCTTATTGAACAGAATGTTGGACAAGTAATAAACAACACATCCATAAAATGAGTGTAGTTGAGATGAGAATACTTAGATGGATGTATGGTAAGTTCGGAAAAGATAGAATTATAAATGAATATATCATAAAATGGTAAAAATAACGTCAATTGAAGATAAATTGAGAAAGAACACACTAAGATGGTTTTGCCATAGATTGTCATCAATCTAAGATAATTTGGGGATATGAGGTTTTGCTTGAATTATTGTGGGTTGTGGGATGTTTAGGTGATAGTGGTGGTAGAGAGACAACAGAAATGTTAGGGGAAGGAGAAGACTTAAATTGATATGGGATGTAATAATAAAAATAAAATAAAATAAGAATTTATTTAAGTTAAATGTGCATATAGTCCTTGAGCGGGCAGAATGACAAAAAACATTATTCATGTAACCAACTCCACTTGAGTGGGACACAAAGCTTTAGTTTGGTTTGGTTTGAAGAACATAGCACACCAAACACATAACGGGAAGTCATTTCATGGAAATATCTTCATGTATTGAATAGCATGACTCACTATACTAACCCCAAATCGATTGAAACTACACATGAAGAAATTAGTACAACAGTTTCTTTGCAAAATCGATTGTAAACTGATCACTGAAACAACACCATGCAATTTGAGCAACCCAAATACCAAAACCCTTTCACCCTATACAGTACCTTGCTTTATTTAGTTCTTGCAGCTTACTGCATTATATCGCACACAGAAGCACAGCAACTATATTTCAATCACAAGCACCACCAGTCCACAGCAGAATATGCTCAAATTGCCTTGCTTGGTTACTTGAGAGAACCTCATAATAAAGTAGAAAGAATTAAAGAACATAAAAAAGAAAAGGCATGACATAGAGAAGGACAATGCAGAGCTATTTACAAGAAAGAAACAAACATATCACGCTTCAGTGTGACATAGTTATCAACAGATCTAGATATAGCAAGGTAGCACAACTTTCCCTCAATTCTAATTCAAATTTTCAATCTTTCAGCTTGAACAGCAATCTACAATAAAAAAATTAAAATAAAATAAAATAAACCACAACAGTTTCTGCATAATGTGAGCCAAACTAATCCATCAACTGAACCAAACTTGCTAAAATTGTCATGCATTTTACTACTTGAATACTAATCTTAGCAAAAAAGTTAAGTAGTCAATTAGATCAAATCAATAAGAAGAAAGAAAAAATAAATAAATTGAAGAAATCAAAATCGAAATCACTGACCGCATCACTGGACGAATTGTCGGCATCCATTTGGGGACGGAGCTTGGCATATAGCTGCGGAGTGCGGTAGAGAGAGCCGGCGGGGGGGCGGTGCTTGATGACAGGAACGTGGTCGAAGGAGATGGTGCCCATGTAGAAGAGCATACCGGCGATGTAGAGGAGAGGAGCGAAGAGGAAGACGCCTTGTCTGCGGAGGAGGACGGAGAGGAGGAACCAGGCCAAGCGGTGAGCGAGGGTTCGGGGGGGCTGATTACCGAAGGAGTTGAACCGGCCTTGCTTCGACCTGCTGCCGGAGTGTCTGAGCCTATTCGGCGACCGGAGCGGCGACTGCGGCGGCGACGGGCTGTTGTGTCCGCTGCCTGGCAACCTATTGTATGCCATTCCTCTCTCTCTCTCTCTCTCTCTCTCTGTTATCGCGTCATATGAATGAGCAAACACAACACAAAAGCCTCTCTCTCTCTCTCTCTCTTCTGTGTGTAATGCGTCAATTTAGAGAGAGAAAAACAGTGAGACACAAGGAGGGGGTACGTTATGATCACAATAGAATAGAGATGAGAGCGGATGAGACAGAAGAGAGAGGATGCACGTGCTCTTAGGGGGATGTGTGTAACTGTTGTGGATGGAGATGGAGATGGAGATGGAGGTCTGTTGGTGGTGGCAGAGAGAGGGCGGGGAGTTGTGGTGGGTCTCCCTCTGTGGAAGGTGTTTGGAAGAAAGGAAAATGACAAAAATATTTTAGTATTAGGAGTGTTTTGTTGCTTTTTCAGGGACGCACATGCGTTTAATCAGTGACAGGATCGAGAAGATGGCTCGGGGGTGGTGACGCCGAATCAGATCCTCTCTTTACTCTCCCTCCCTCCTTGTTTTTTTAATGGTCATTATAGGTTGATTTTTTAGTTTTTTTATTTTTTTAATTATTTTAATTTAAGTTAAAAAATTTAGTATTGAAAGAATTTTTTGATTTTTTAATTTTTTTTATTTTTTTTGTGAGAAAAATATAATGATTATGGATTAAATATAATATTTTATTTACTGTGGTTAAAATAGTATATTTTATCTTTTGTGGTTAAAATAACCACAAAAACTATTGCCAAATGGAGTCTAAATATGTTATATCTATAAAAAAAAATTAAATTGATCAAATATCAAAAAATATATGTTTAGAAAATTATTTATTAAATGTTTTTTAAAAATAATATTTAGTTCAATAATTAGAACACATCATTTTTGATATTCGATTAATTTAATTTTTTATAAATATGATATAATTAATAAATTTTAAAATATAAATTGTTCGAACTAGGAAAAATTAGTCTAGGGTCCCTCTCCCACTCTTCGTAATGGAAGAGATCCACAAAATTATTTTTTGATGTTTAAGGTCCCTAAACATATATCGGACAAATTTTACTCTTGGTCTCTCCACCAGACACTCCAAGATCCAACTCTCTCTTCGTGCATCAAAAACCCCTCTCTCAGTGAGCAATCCGTTGAGCACATAGGCTGGAAGTACTGTTCAGTACCTAATGAATGTGACCACGGCAGGGAATCTGGTGAACATCAGAACTAGGATTATTAACACCACAGTGACCGGCACAGTGTACTCCGATAACCAACTGGCGGTGTATCAGGTAAACAGAGTGCTGCTTCCGTTGTCTTTTTTTGTCTCTATTTTGCCTGCTCCGGCACCATCAAAGCCTGTGAAGCAGGCTCCGTCTCCAGTAAGCGACAAGTCAGCTAGTAGTACCGATGCATCGGTTCAAGCTTCCGGTGATGTGCCTCACCGTGCACTCAATATTGCTGTGTGCTTTGCTGGTTTGGTTATTGGGTACAAACCGAAGGCGAAGGCAGCGTTAGGGCTGAGGGCGGTGTGTGCATCGTTTTCAACGAAGTCGGGTGGCGGCGTTAGGGCTGAAGGCGGTGTGTGCATCGTTTTCAACGGAGTCGGGCGGCGGCGGAAGTGGTGGTGATGTGGTCGGAGGAGGAGGGGATAATAATAATAATAATAGTAGTATGTCGTTTGCGGAGGCGAAGAAGCTGATGAGATTGGTAAATGTGGAAGCGTTGAAGATGAAGCTAGGGGGTGAAGATTGGTAAATTTCTCTGATGTTGTCATGGAGGGTAAATGTGCAAAAGTTGTTTTGAACACATGCTCACAGACGTTGCCATCTATCAGCATGTTTCAGTATAACCAGGCTTTGGTTAATATGTTACACTGCCCACCCCATGACTCTCTAATTCGGGAGAAATTCTAGAATTTCTCTGGAATAGGAGAATTGTAATTTTCTCTGGTTTGATCAATTTTCTCTGAATGAGTAAAAAAATAATTTTTTCTGACATGTTTAATTTTCTCTGTGATGCTTAATTTTTTTTGAATTTTTATGGTTTAGAATTTCTCTGGAAAAGAAAAGAGAACTATAATTTTCTCTAGTTTGATCAATTTTCTTTAGTTGAGTCAAAACACAATTTGGTGAATGTCGTTTGCTTATCTGCTACTTGCTTTCTTCTTTGCTGGTTGAATAGGGTTGACCTTCACATTTTGCATATAATGTTCAATACGTTTTTGCCAGATTATTGAGTGAAAATTATATCAATCAGTTCTGCGATTGGATATAAGGGCTTGTTTTGAAGCTGATTTTATAGAACATACTGCACTCAGAAAAAATGAGGTTGAAGCAAAATTAAAATGCTTTGTTCTTTGTGGAATTCCATTACCCACCTAGAACATAGTCTTCCCCTTCTTTTGACAGGAAAGGAAAATTTCTCTGGAAAGTCCAGAGAATTTCTTTGGATTAATTTTCTCTGTGACGTGAATTTTCTCTGGACCAATTTTCTCTGGATCAACTTGAGAGACCTAAAACATTATGAAAATATTAAATGTCTTTTATGCTATGAAATCTTAATCCGAGGGACTTTAAAAAAAAAAAACCCTTCGAACTATCGACATTGAGTTGAAAAGTAAATCTAATGACCCAACAAGGTTAAAAAAAAAAAAAAAAAAAAAAAAAAAAAAAAAAAAAAAAGAAAAAAAAAAAAGGGAAGGGATCCTGATTCGGTGATGCCGTGGTGGTGGCGTGTTTTCGTTTCACAGTCTGCTTGGTAACGCAGTTTAAATAGTCTACACTCTGAAGCGATAAAAACGTGGAAGACACACTATAGTCCACTTATCAATAATAAAAGAATTTCGAAAAATTCTATGATATACCTATCTTTCGTAGGTGTCTATCACCGGTGACGATGTTTGTAGTCTTTGTTATGAATTATGGTAGTATTAATTATGTATTAATTGTGGTATTAATTATTACTTATTTTGTTTATAATAAAAAGAATAATATTATATGTACTAATTAATATACACATTAGTGCATCAATAGATTATGTGTCATCATTTATATAAATTGGATATTTATAACTGGTATAATAAATGTGGTATATAATAATATCATAACACTAATTGGTACACTAATATGTACATTAATTGGTACATATAATACCACTATAATGAAAAATGTTGTAATTATATATTGACTATTTTTTTTAGTTATGATTAAAAAAATTATTTATGAATGTTATAATTTACATAAAATACACACTGTTTAATTAATCTCCTAAAATGACCACAGAATGACCCTTTAATATAATATTTATTTAAAAAAAAATCTTAGTTTAAATAAGTGGACAGACAAATTTGTTTGGGTTCGGGATTCACTTTTTAAAAAATTGAAAAACTTTTTTTTTATTTATTTTTTACTGAATTTTTTTGATATTTTAATCCATTTTTTTAATTTTTAAATCTACTTAAAAAGTATAATATTTATTAAAAAAATCTTTAAAAGAATCACTAAATATAAAAAATATAAAAATATATAAAAAAAATACAATAATTCAGTACATTTTTATATTCTTGTGTATTTATTAATTTTTTAAAATATTTTTTATAAATATTTTACTTTTTAGATACATTTAAGTAAAGTACATCTAAAAAAGTAAATAAAAAATTATTTAAAATTTTAAAAATATTTACTAAAAAATACACAAAAAATAAAAAACTCAATTTTTAAAAAATTAAATTCAAAAAATTAAACCAAACATAGTGAATATTTTTTTTAGTCCTTTCACAGATTTTGGATTGCCTTAAAGCCAAATCATCGTCTAGTTTAATTTTGGAACACAAATTAAAATAAGAATTGAACTTGCTTAGGAACAATTTAGGAACAGTGTATACTCAATTGATGAAAATTACATAAAATAGTATAATATGAATGTTACAGGGGCAAACTGTAAAAGCAAAACTATAATTTAAGATTATCTCCCATGGTTATTTAAAATTGTCAACAAATATAAATTTGATGAAAAATTATTTATTTTCATACTCCAATGGATTCATTAAATACGTATCAAATCCAGAATTTTACTTTTTTTTTTCATCAAACTGAGAATCAATATATCTTTCATCAAATCACTATTCATTGTCGTTGAATTTTCACCACTCGATCTCCCCCAGATGACCACCTCAAGACAAAAAATTGTGAAAACATTACACTGGCTTATCGTCCGCATTGTCAACTAATGGTTTGATGAAACTACAAAACTCTAAATTGGAGCACTTAGGCCTCGTTTGTGAACAAGCTAATTTAGTAACTTTTTAGCTATTTGGCTAAAACATGAGTAAAAAAAACTAGTATATTTGGGATGACTTTTTGACTTTTTACGAAAAGATGTGTAAAAAGTAGAGAGAAAAGACAATCTTTGACTTTTTGGTATGGTTTGTTGGCTTTTTGGCTAATTTAGTAACTTTTTGACTTTTTTGCTAAAATGGAGGGTTCCCAATCAAAATTAGGGGTGCAACTCGGGCGAGTTCGGTCAGGTTGGGAGGTTGTCCAAGCCCAGCCCAAGTTGTGCTGAGACCTGCCCAAGCCCGAATTGTAACCCAAGGTTGTCTGCCCAAGCCTAACTCGAGTTAAACCCAAATTGCCCGAGTTGCCCGAATTGTAAATGAATTTCAGTTTTTTTTTCCCCAGCTACATCATTAAATTATTAAAATTTGACTCTATTTACAATTTTTTTTTAAAAAAATAGAAAATCACTAATACCATCAAAACAAATAATTCATATAATGTAAGAAAGATGTCACTATAGTAGTCCTTACAATTTATGAGTGAAAATAAAAAGAAAAAAAGTAAGATTTTATGTTATTTATATATATAATATATATTCAATATGATTTAATAATATAAATTATTTTAATATCATGTAATGGCTAATAATTTATATATATATATATATATATGTATAATTCAAGCTTCGGGTTGCTCGGGTTGCTTGACGTCTTTGTCCAAACCCGCCCAAATTTAATTCGGGTTTCTGAATTTTTGCCCAAGCCCGTACCGAATTTGAAAATATTTTGTCCAACCCCTAAAAAAATTCGGGCTGGGCTCGGGTTGCTCGGGTTGAGCCCGCCCAATTTACACCCCTAATCAAAATAAGTTTTTACTCAAATTTACTCAAAAAAATTGATGCACCATTAAAAATATCCTAATACAATCGATAACTTGTTAAACTATGAAAATGGTTGTTAAATATCGTCATACACAAGACTTTGAAGTTTAATAATAGAGTAATGTTAGAGATTTCAAAAGATTTATCAAAATTTCTACTAAATGTTTCACATGGATGTAAAATTTGCATGGAACTCACATAAGGTTGGTCCCACATCTATATAAAACATTTGATAGAAATTTTAATAAATTTTTTGGATCTCTAATATTTACCTTAATAATAAATAATTTTAAAAATTAAAGTTTGGGGTAAAAGGGAAGTCATTAAACCCATGAACTTGCGTAGGTATAA